ACTAATTCTCTGATGATAACCATAGAAAGAGAAAATAAAATCACCCCTGGACAAAAGTGACTCTAGCATTGCATGTGCAAATCTCTAAACTAGACCCTTTGTCAAGGATGCCTAAACTAGAAACTAATAAAAGAAAAGGAAGTTGTTATCAATTTGTTTATTTGCTCCTTTCTAATGCAGTGAATTGATATTATACTTTCCAAATATAGATAAGAGTGAAGAATAATATCAAAAACTTTGTACTCATCACCCGGCTTGAACAATTACAACACTTGTCAATTTTTTTCATTTATACTCTCCACATTTTGTTTGTTTTCTAAACTATTTTAAAGCAAATTCCAAACAGTATAACACTTCAAATGTGAAGTTTTTGCTATGTATCTCTAACTGATAAGGTACATATACAGCATACTAAATATGTGTGTTAGGCATATATATCTATATCTAGGTACACATCCACACACAAACACACACACTATGCCACAAATATTCTATGCAATTATCAAACCTAACAGAATTAATAATTCCTTAATATCAACTAATACCTAATTCACATTCAAAATTCCAATAATATTTCAGAGATACATATACAATGTATACAGTCAAATCAAATCAAGATCCAAACAAGACTCTCATATATTGGGTTGTTATCTCTTATGTCTCATTTTCAATATTCTTTCTTTCTTTCTTTCTTTTTTTGAGGCAGAATCTTGCTCTGCTGTCACCTAGGCTGTATAGCAGTGATGTGATCTTAGCTAACTGCAACCTCTGCCTCCTGGGTTCAAATGATTTTCCTGCCTCAGCCTCCCAGATAGCTGAGACTACAGGCACGTAACACCAAGCCTGGCCAATTTTTTTTTTCTTTTTTTAATAGACACAGGGTTTCACCATATTCGCCAGGCTGGTCTCAAACTCCTGACCTCAAGTGATCCACCTGCCTTAGCCTCCCAAAGTGTTGGGATTACGGGCATGAGCCACCAGCCTCATTTTCAATTTTCAGGCATCTTTTCTTTTTTGTTTTTCAGTTTTGTCAATATTTTCTACTTTTTTTCTTTTATGCTAAATATAGTTTTTAAATGTTTTTCAGAACTTATTCTAATATAATCAAAGGACATGAAACAATCAGATTGGTAAATCAACTTTTAAAATTTGAGTAGACTACATACAAAATTAAATGGACTTAATATTTCATCCTTCCAGTTGTGAATGTCATTTATTTATCCTGAGCTATTTTTTAGAGGGAAAAAGCGACTAATTAGCTCAGGAAGCATAATTGCCAATTAATATTTATCTTTTAAATTTTCATATTTATAATTTATTATTCCTATAGCTGAGGCAGGAGTTCAAACCTGATCTACTGATTCCCAGGCACAGCTATACCCATTCTCAATAAAATAAATGAGTCAAAACCTTAAGTGTACTGAGTTGGTCCATTCTTCTTAAAGATTTGCCTCTATCCATCTAGATTTCTGAATTGCTGCCAAATCATTAGAGTTTAAAAGACATCACCCATGTGTGCTTCATTGCACATATGCCATGATTATGAAGAACCTTAAAAAACATAATCTGATGATTTTCAGAAGCAGGATCTGGTTTTCTTAAGAGTTTTGCTGGTTAGCAAACCCTATTTCAGAAAAGCTAAATGTTAAATGGGTCACTTCATTGGCAAAGACAGTAATTTCTGAGCTTTTATTTAGAATAAATGAGAAAAGAAGGATAAATTGTGAGGAGAATTAGTAACACAATCTTTCAATGGCAAGTATTTCAATTGATTAACTGTCAGACCAAGCATTTCCCTAAATTCAGCAAACCAACTCAATCTGTCTTTTGAAATACTTTTTGCAATTTGTTAAGGCTTTTTGTCTAATCAAGAACACTAAACACCTACTATTAGTTCAGGTTTCATTTGCAAGTTAGAATTATTTTCCATAGAGAAATCTATGCATTGCATGATAGCTCTACAACCAGATAATCAAAACTCTTAAAACAGCCAAGGAATGTGCCAGAAGGCCTTAAATAGGCACACAAATGATAAGTGAAGATGTCTTTATCATTATCTCCCAGATTTGTTACAAAGACGATATTTCTTCATGCTCTAAATTTTAGATAGAGTAGTTTTCCTGTAAGCTATTTCTTCCCAAAATGGATAAGAAAGTTTTTCCTCCTTTTAAGTACAAGTTAGTTATGTAATCATTCAAAATTACCAGATACTGATTGGGAAACTCGTTAGAAAGGACAGGTTGCATACCTGCAATCTCATTTCTTAGGACATATTAAAGCAATTTAGAGCTAAAATGTCCATTCATTCTTAGAAACAAGAGGGATAAAGCTGTCAGTTTCCTAGCCACCTGGAGTACACTATTCTCCAGTGTTGATTTTGATAAAGCAACCTTAGTTTCATAAACCACTGAAAAACTAGAATTTAACTGGCTGGCAGAAGAACCATGGCATCAATATGTCTTAAAATGGAGGTCAGGGAGAAGTTAAATTACTGAGCAAATGGGTAAAAATCTTTTCCTTAATGTATAGCCTAATTTTTCAGTACATCTCCAGGCAAGATTGTACAGCTCCCTTCATTTAAATCATTTTATTTCTACATTTTGCTTAATACTAAAAGGAGGATGGCAAGATGTAACACTGACACTCAAAAAGGCAGTAATATATAAGCAAGAGCATCTTCCTTGATGCATACTATCGTCCAAGAAACAATCATTTTCCTGCAGGACAGACACAGCCAATCATGCTGAATATACACATGAGTCACCTCATGGCTTTATTCATCCCTGCCAGTAGGCATATCTCTCAACCTCTGCAGCTGTAATGGCTCCTGTCCAAATGGGCTTTTACTACACACAGGAAGCTTTCTTGCTTCTCTCTCTTTTATAACTAAAGGCTTGTGGTCCAACAAGTCCAAAGCCTTTGGCAGGAGGAGCCTGAGTGGTAGGTCTGATGGTCCAGACTGGAAGCCTATATTTGGGCCATACACAAAGGAAGGAAAACCCAAGTCCTAGCGATGTTTGCAGCACATGGACATAGTAGCCACAATAAATACTTACTGAGCACCAACTGACTATATATAGTATCTATAACTCTTTTCTTTCAAGATAAGGCAGAGGTTATATTTTTTAAAAGTAAAACAAACAAACAAAAAAAACTGGATAACTAACTGTAACAGATTATAAATTGTTAGTAAAACTGGGAGTGAGGCAAAAATGGAATTCCAGTATTTCCACTAGGTTCCTAGTGAAAGCAGATATTGCAAGAAGACACCGGGACTGAGGAGGGTCAAATGGAAGAACTCCCCTGTTTAGACAAAGGGGATGTATCCTAGGCTCAGTGTCAGCCTATAGATTGGGGTCCATAGAGAAGCAGGCAAATTGTGTCTCCAAGAACTAAGGAGATGAACTTGTTTCTATTCATAAATGAAAAGAAACACGTTTTAGGGAGATTATCTTTTTTTTTTTTTCATGACATCCTCATTCAATTTCCTAAAATTTAATGTCAACTTAAACCCTCTGTTTTTGAAAGCACTGCAAAGAAGCATGTGGAACTCCTCTGGTGTTTCTAAGACAGAGATTGTCAAAAGCACCAGGGTACAGTGTTACAGTGTCACCTCTCTTTTCTGTAATTCTATGGCAGACACTGCTAATTGCCTGCTGATATTTGTTCTGCCCCTTTTCCCTTGAAGGGAGCCATTTTTAAAAGAACCCATTTCTTTTAAGGCAATGCATGTAATTTAAAAAATGGAATTAGTCAGCATACATCCTTTGCCCTTCAAGCCTCCCCTTTCTTCTTTGTGGAATATGCACCCCTCACTGGTTGATGACCATGAGGCAAAACCATACATTTAAAAAATGGCAGTGCTGGGCCGGGTGCGGTGGCTCAAGCCTGTAATCCCAGCACTTTGGGAGGCCGAGGTGGGTGGATCACAAGGTCAAGAGATTGAGACAATTCTGGTCAACATGGTGAAACCCCGTCCCTACTAAAAATACAAAAATTAGCTGGGCACGGTGGCACGTGCCTGTAATCCCAGCTACTCAGGAGGCTGAGGCAGGAGAATTGCCTGAACCCAGGAGGCGGAGTTTGTGGTGAGCTGAGATCGAGCCTTTGCACTCCAGCCTGGGTAACAAGAGTGACACTCCGTCTCAAAAAAAAAAAAAAAAAATGGCAGTGCTGAAAACTAGAAGGAACTGACTCCTTGGTGACACTGTAGAATGCTATACCAGACATGGACCACCTGACTCCAGATTTTTTTATGTGAGAAAATGAAACTCCTAATACATTTAAGTCTAGACTTTAGTGGTTTCTGTTGCTCACAGTGAAACACAATGCTCAAGTGTATTGCATTTATTACTATAATGTAGTATATATATTAGCTCCTTAACATTTGATGATGTAAAATCCTCTGGAGTAGGAATTATTATTAAAAGACCAAAATGAATTACCTACCATCAAATATTTTTCATAGCTCGAATTTTTCTCTCCCACTTAAACCACAAATCCACTATTTCCCTCCTCTAAGTCCTTCTGGCCTCTCCTCTCCATCTGTACCACTGCGGCTTTCCCTCACCTGAATTCAGAAAAGGCTCCTGATTATTCTTTTTACTTTCAGACTTCTTCATTAATTTACTGTCACCAGTGATCTGCCCAAAGTATCAATATGATCATGTCACTTTCTATTAAAATAATAAAATGACTTCCCATAACTTATAATTAAAGCTAAAAGCCTTAAATTTCACGTAAGGTTTCTCAGAACCTTGCAATATGGTAACTTTCTGGCCTTATTTTACCACCTTCCATCACCTTCATCTTCCAGGTTCCCTATTTTCAAGTTCACTGAACTGCTTGCTAGGTAATATATACAAAGTGTTTTATGCAGGGCTGGCAAAAATAGGCACTTATAAAATGTGGCTTGCCTTCCACAGTCCTTCTCCAAACACACCACATACTTTCACATCCTCTGAATTTGCATATAATTTTGCCTAAAATTTCTTGTTTACCTTCTCTCCCAGAAGACCTTCTATTCAGAGTTCAAGACTCAGCTTCAATGCTGTAGGCTCTATGTGTCTTGATGATGTAAAGTCAACTTTCATGCTTTGTATCTTCCTTCCCTGTCCTAGAACAGAAAAGTTACTAAAAATGTTGAAAAGAATTATTCAAAATTACTCTAACTTTACTTCATATAAATTAGGTTTCTGGTAGCTGACCATTAGTAATAAGGCACTGTGAGAGAAGATCAGAGAAGATTCTTTAGAACTGGCCATAGTGGGAAACAATTGTAGCAGATTCCCAGTAACTCAAAGGCAATTAAAATATTAGCTCTATGATGGTGAAAGACAAAGGTAATATCCAATGAAGCAAGTGTAATTAATTTAATTAATTCAATATTTATTAAGCACCTAACATAGGGACCTAGCTGGAGTTGCTGACAAAGTAGACAGATTGATATAAAGCAGGGGTTTTCTGGGGAAGTTGGGAGAGAGAAAAAAAATAAGTGAAATGAGGAAGAAATTTGAAAGTATAGATGAGAAAATGAGTTAGCAGGCCCTTGAGTTCAGATTGGACAAGGAAGGTAATGAAAATCCAAGGAGGCTAACAAAATTGAGAGAAAATCAAGAGATTCAGTAACTGAATGTCTCAATGCACACAAAGAATCAGTGCAGTGGATATAATGAAGAAAAGCACTAGAACAGGAGCTCATGATCAGAAATGGGAAACCTGAGTTGAAGGTTTCAGTGCCAAAGCAATCCCTGAGGAAGAAAACATCCACTGAGCAGTCATGGGTATGGAGTGGAGTGAGGGTTGCAAGTCATTGGAGGTGAGGTTGACAGGGCACCGTGAGGCTAGAATGTTGGGCATTTGACAGCATTAGGCAGAGAAGTTTTCCAGGATAATGGTTAGACCTAGGGTAAAGAGAAAGAATGTTAGTCAAATGAAAAATTTTATGCATTTGTAGAAGATTGTCTGTTGGGAAGCACAGAGGGTAGCAGAGCTACAGAGTTCAACTCTCACAGGGCAAGGGGTATTTATACAACGATGGAGGAACAATGTTTTGGAAGCAATAGTGGGGATTCTCTCCCAGTCCACATCACTGACACACATGCACCAACACAATGTGGATAAGGAGGAATAATTAGTTCAGTTGAAATAGCTAAGGGAAATTGTATGCTTGGGAGAAAACCAGGTTTAAATCAATTTCAAGAAGGTGTAATGAATCCTCTGTGAAGATGATTAAAACGACGGAGCTTTTCTTTATCATGAAGTGAAATTTCTTGGAAATATAAAATATTGCAAGACAGTTGAATAGTAGGAGGCTGGCCAGGGAAGAGAAAACACAGAAAATCCTTGGCATAAAAATATGGGAAGAATAGATAGCCCAAGGAGTTTCTTTTTGCCAAGGATAATGTGTTGTGAGGAACCCGGGAATTATCTGGCATCGAGGTTTTAAGGAAACACTGGGACAAGTGCTTTGAAGGCTGGCTCAGCCTGAGCCACAAGTATGTTTCAGGACAGCTGGTGTTAGCCTTTTGGGGCCTTTGCTCCAGGTTCATATGTAAACCTTGTTAAGAAGTTGTCAAGGTGTTTCTAACAAAATTCTAACCTAGGTAGATCGGAATTAAAATTACAGTCTCCAGATATTCACCTCCCTGTGGAAACATCTCAATGATGACTCAAGCTTTTGAAGAAATATACTGGGCCCTGGATTGGGTCTCATCTCAGGAATGCCCCTGGCAGCATCAGAGGCAGGATTCAGGAAAAAGAGACTCTCATTTTCAAAAGCATGAAAAGCTCAGAGTATCAACTTATCATTGAGTCTGATCCACAGGAATCACAAAAACGTGTTATTGAATGAATTGATATGGATTGTAAGTTTTACCTCTCGGTTAGAACATGGAAGTTGAGATAGTACATTTTCAAATTGCTGAAAAGGACAATAGGACGTATTTGTCATTCTTTCTGGCTTCCCTACATCTTAGCCACTTTCTAATTGGGGGAGTTCCCATTTTATAAGTTAGAGTTAGAAACAAATGCCAGAACCTCATTTTTCGAACCTCCCTTGGGGGTCAGCAGTATATACAAGACCTAGGCTCAGCCAATAGGATGCAACTTTGCAGAATTTATATTGGGATCGGAATGTGGAATCGTTAAAAAAAAAAAAAATCATTCTTGTAGGAGGGGCTACTGAAGCAAGATTAATTTCCCAAAACAGTACTGGTGGCAGTGACAGTAGCAGCACCCAGGGCTCCATGCTGGTGACATCCACAGCGTGAGCTGTAGGGTGCCATGGTTAGTGGCAGTGGAAGCTGTGTTCTCACCTAGTCAGTTCTGCAAGTGATTTGTGCCATCATTTCTGACCACACATCCTCTGATGATGGTTTTTCATCACCATATGATTTTGTACCCAATATCCTTTTAGTAAACTCAATTTCTCCTTAAATCAGGTTGCTTATTTTAGCAACCAAAGACCCTACTGATGCAGATGTTTGAAGCAGAAGTGGGAGGCTGAAAGTAACAAACTAAAATAAGTGAATGGGTAAATGGACACGGTTCTATAGAAGGCACTGAGGAACCAGGATGGAAAGTTGTGACTTTTTTGAGGTTAGAAAGCAATCAGTTAAACCATCTGTTGCTCTTGAACACAGACCATGGGCCTAGAAAGACATTGGGCTTAGGGCGAATGCTAACAACATCAATGGATGCCTTTCAGTGGGTTCCATGGAGAAAGGAAGTTAAGACTAGGGCTGTACCATCTTAAAGAGGGAAGCAGGAAATTTAGCAGCAACAGATAAAATTGAGCCAATAGATGAGCCTAATCTTCCAGACCTGTCTTAAACAATTTTTATAAAGTCGTTTCTGCCTGACAAAGAGAAAAACCCAGATGGCAAAGATTGGATTATAGGTATTGCCTTCCCACCCAAGGTTATTGTTTTTAATTGACTCAGGGCAGAGGTCATTAATCTGAGGTCTAGGAGGACCGGCATCATGTAGAAGTCCCTGGAATGGAGTCAGGAATTCTCAGACTCACAGTCTATTTCTAGAAAAGATCGCTGGCTGTGTTATTAGCCCATGGAATTGATGGAAGCACCTGAAGCCTACTGAGTTCGTACAGGAATTGTATTACCAAGGAAAGGCCAAGGTTAATAAACAATGGCCTGTGACCTCTCAGACAGTAAGGCAATTCCCTGAGCTCCTAAACTCCCACCAACTGGATATAAAATACTAAAGCTGTATAGCCCCAGAAAGGCATTTTCCCCAAGATTCATCTTCCGTATTGCCACAAAGGAGAATTGCCTTGTTCTGGGTAAGGTAACTGCCATAACAAAAAGACCAAATCTTGAAACATCTCAAACCACAACAGGAATTTATTTCTTATTTATACAATAGAACTAAGCAAGTGAAAATGTGGGTGGTACAGCCTTCATCCATCTGGTAATGTCGGGATCCAGGCTGAAAAAAGTTGTTGTATTATATTCAACACATCTTTTAAGCTTATCAAATATCTCCACTGCCTTGAGGTGGAAAAGAGAAAAACAGCAACACATAAGCACACAGGCTGGTGGTTTTATGAATCCAGCCTACAAGTGATGCACGTCACTTCCACTAATATTCTATGAGACAGAACTCCGTCTAGATAGCAACAACTAAATTCAAGGGGGGCTGGAAAGGGTGGGCTAGCTGTGTGCCCAAAAGGAAGAAGAAAGAGGTATTGGAGAGAAGTTAGCCATTTCTACCACAACTGAGAAAAGAAAAACTATTCCTGAGACTAGAAGGGGAGCTGTACAAATGGATGAAAAGGTTCCTTTCTCCATTGGCAGAGTAGGAAGTCCTTGCCGTTCTCAAGAACGTTAAGTGCTATGAAACAGTGATAACTGCCAATCATTTCCTGTTGTCTCCTTCTCAGAATTGGAGTTGATCTGGGGGTGAGGGAAGCTTTTACTGTAGTTTATTGGCTATGCTAGTGATAAAAACTTGTTTCTAAGGCATATGTTCACACACCATGATGGAAGAAGTCAAAAAATCCCCAAAATCTCAGATATAGAATTGAGTATTGACTGATGAGACTGCTGGGTTACCTTCCTTCAGGAAGGTGTGGGCATATTTTATGTAGATGTGCGCACTTTTTCCAAGTATGAATAGGATGATGGGTATATATTTAGATGCTGATCAGACAAAGGATGGACCTGAAGGATGTATTTTTTGTTGCTACCCCGATATCAATTCCTCTGCTTCTTCCATTTGGGCAGAATTACAGTAGAAATTCAGGTCACCCATTCTCTTCTTGTCTTTATTTAGCCAACCCTGGCCATCTCATTCTGTTTGCCTGTGGTATGGGGAAAGGCACGTGATGCATTCTGGCCAATGAAACATTTTGCTCCATTTCCAAACAAAACGAAAATCTGTGGGATAACTTCAGATAAAGGTTTCATTACCATAAAAACGCTTCATGGAGAGAAAGAGATCGTTTTTCCATTTGATCTTACTGTGGAAGCATAAGATATCTGGAACTGTGCCAACACTGTGGGACCATGAAGGGAGCCGGACTACAGTTAAGTCAACAAGAGCATTAACAGCCAAAAGATGGGGCAAACTTCAGTTACAATTATGTCATTAAGCCATGACATCAACTGGCATTGAAGCAACTCTAAGACTCTCCAACTTCTTCTTATGTAGGATAATACATTTTTATTAGTGTTTAAGATCTTTCTGTTACTTTTATCTGAAAGCCTCTTTCCCGAGGCTTTTTTTTTTTGTGCTACCCAATCCATATATTACACATCACACATGGGAAGCCTAAAGTTTACTGTCTTCTTATAGAAAATACCTTGTTTATATCTGATAAATGTACACTATCTTTTGTAGATGAAGACAGCACTGGGAATACATGTCAGTAGGGTGTGTGTGTGTGTTTCATGAGGAAATAAATTTTGATTGATCCATCAACATGGTCTCAACTAGTTCTCTTTGTAACTGAAACATATTTGATAGCCAGTTGGCTGGGGTCAATGGTGTAGTGCTTGATTATGGACTGAAGTAATGTCAGAATAAAACCTATTATCTTAGTTTCATTAGAATGGTGGGCCAACTATCAGAAGTTATGCTCACTCTGAGAGTGAA